GAAAACAGCAAAAAAAATCCACATATTACTATGAAAAAGGAAAGATATCAAAATGCTAGCTTAACCTGTAACTTTCATTAATAATTTTCCTCATTATTTCATTAGGCCCATAGAAGACTAGAAAAATCCAAGTTGAAAAATCCACTCATATTTCAAATCATGAAAGTCTCTTTTTAGCTTGGGTTATACAGAGATTATTATAATTGTTACAAACACTTATACATAAACAATTATATTATAAACAATTTATAATATAAATTATTATAAACTGTTGTCAGAAAAAATACCTGAAAATACTGAGTTTTATACAGATACATGCATATGCACTCATATAAATCTATAAATATATGAATTTAGATTTTTTTTCTTTTTGTATTCCACTCTTAAAAATGGTTCAGGAGTGGATTTACTCAACTTGTTTGATCTAATTTTAGAAAGGTGGGGACACTAACAGAGGAGATGGTGCCCAAATCCTGTGCAAGTTTTAAAGCATCCGTTTTGCCCATGAAACTCCTCGCTTGCTAGGAAACAGCATGTTTCCTTCTTGTCCCTTCGCTGCCTCTACCTCGTGGAGGGCCCAACTTGCTCCCGGCTTCTCCTCCGACCTTCCCTCCACTCACCTCCCAGGAGCCGCTTCCACCCTCCAGGCAGCACAAGAGGCTCCAACATGCTCCTGTGGCTGAGCCGGCAGTTCCTCTGCCCTTCGTTTCCACATCCTCTCTAGCAAGTCCAATCCTCTATCATTTCAACTTGTTTCATCTCCGCCTCTATCCCTCCAGTAGACGAGCAATGCCGCTACTGTATTGTTTACACCTTTTTAGGCACGAGTGTCGCTCATTTCTAGAGCGCCATCTAGTGACATAAGGTTGAAAAACACGCGCCTTCTATTTTCACCCTAAAATGCTTGCAAGATGTTTTCATTGATGCCAGGTTTGCCCTCACTAAGCAAGGTGATTTAACATCCCCATGAAACCGCTAGGGGAGGCTATCCAGGGGTGAAATGCTACCACTTCAGCTGAACTGGTCGTGGCGGTGGCACATGGTTCAGGGAACCGGTGGCAGCAGCGCAAGGATCTGCCCACCCGCCCAGACGTCATTACTTCCTGGTTTGAACCAGGAACCAACCTGCTTTTGACCCTCGGCACATGCATAGATAAGGTGACCAGACGTCCCGCTTTTGAGCAATTTGTCCCGCGTCCCGCGGCGTTTCAAAAAAGTCCCGATTTTTCTTGAGCCCCAGCTGATGGCTAGAAGAAAAAAAAAACTGTTTAAACTCTTGCCCGGGGCTTCAAAGGGCCGCCCTACAGGCAATCAGTGTAAAGCAGTTTTTTTTTCCCCTAGCTAAGCTTCAGAAACGAAACCGAAACCAGGGTCTTTGGTGCAGCGTGACAAAATAAGGCAGAGAGAGATTTATTTTTATTTTTATTTTTCCTCCCCAAAAAAGGTAGGTGAAAAACTGCAAACAATGGGAAATTTAGGAGGAGAGTTCAAGATTTTGAAACACAAAGGAAAAAAAGCTGTATTTAACTAGGGAATTGTAATAATTGAGATACTATTAATTGTATATTGTGTTGAAAGCAGAAATGGTTAAGTTGTGGTTCGGAGGAATATATGGGAGAAATTATTTGGTTTATTATTATTGGTAAATATAATTAATTGATTTGTAAGAAATTGGATTGCATGGAAATAATTGGAATATTCATGTTCATATTGATTAATATACAAAAAAGATAGTTATATAACTAATTGATTTATATTAAAATGTTGAATTTGTATTAAACAACTGTATTACATAATTACATAATTAACCAATGTGAGGATGGATATAAAAATAGATGACAATGGGAAGGGGTATAATATAGAATAGAAGGGAAAAATTGAATTTGATTAAGATTAGAGATGAGGATGAAGGGTAATATTGGTTTTTTTAAAAAATAGATGAGGAATAAATATGGCAAAAAGGAAATATAGAAATTGTAAATTTAATTGAAATGACTAAACGCTGTTTAAATTTGTGAACCAGCCAAATATTCTGTTCAAAGAAAATACATTGTATGTTTGTATGTGTGTTTCTAATTATTGCTATTTATTCATATTTGTTCTCTTTTATTCTTTAAAGTTTAACAATTCATTCTTTATCTTAATATCTTTATATTTGCTTGGGGTTGCCTTTCTTCCCTTTCATCTTTTTTATTGTACAGCAATCTTTCTCCTCAAACCTACCACCTCTCTCTTTTCTTTTCTTCTTACTTTCTCTTCCCCCCACCCTCTTTTTCTCCTCCCTACTTCCTCTTTCTTTCTCCTTCTCCTCCTCTCTTCCTCCCTCTCTTACCCTCACTCCTACTCTAATTTCCATTCCTTCATCCCTCTCTATTGCTGTAATCCTTTAATGCATATGGACTACTCAGAGGGCTGAAAAAGTTATTTTTGACTGGTCCTCACACTTTTGACCAGTCCTCGAACTTATGACTGTCCTCACGTTTTACATTTTTGCCCTATCTTGTCATCATGGTGAAGAGAAGCAGTTGTGAAATGAGTGACACGGTTGTTAAGAATGGTACAATGGGCATAAATGATGACCAGTCATAACTGCGAAGACCGGTCAAAAGTGCGAGGACCTGTCAGAAATGACTTTTTTCAGCCCTCTGGTTAGTCCTTTTGTGCATATGGACTACTCAGAGGGCTGAAAAAGTTATTTTTGACTGGTCCTCACACTTTTGACCAGTCCTCGAACTTACGACTGTCCTCACATTTTACATTTTTGCCCTATCTTGTCACCTTGTTGAAGAGAAGCAGTTGTGAAATGAGTGACATCGTTGTTAAGAATGCTGCACGGGCATAAATGTGAGGATGGTCATAAGTGTGAGGACCTGTCAGAAATGACTTTTCAGCCCTCTGAGTAGTCCCTATACACATAGCCATGGCCACCCAGTCACATGACCAGGTAGCCACGCCCACCCAGTCACATGGCCTCCAAGCCACGCCCACACAATAAGCCACGCCCACAATGGTGTCCTTCTTACCAATGTTAAAATCTGTTCACCTTACCCTATAGACATAGCCATGGCCACCCGGTCACATGACCAGCTAGCCACGCCCACAAAATAAGCCATGCCCACAATGTCCCTCTTTACCAATGTTAAAATCTGGTCACCTTATGCATAGAAGGCTTTGCGCATGTGCAGAGGGTCCAAACACGCACGTGACACGCGTACACGCTTCCGAACATGTAGGAAAGGTAAGTAGATTTCACCTCTGTGGCCATCCATCAAGTGGTATGCAACAAAGTACAGGAAGTGCTCGATTTACTTCACTTAGTGACCATTTGAAGTTACAACAGCACTGAAAAAAGTGACATGACCATTTTTCACCCTTAAAGACCACTGCAGCATACCCATGGTCATATATTCAAAATGGAGATGCTTGACATTTGGGAGGCCTTGTACATGGGTTACTCATGCCTTGGTCTCATCCTGTTTGGATCATTGCACAGGAATGCACCCAGAAAGTTCAACTGGTCCAGAATGCAACAGCGCACATAGTAATGGGAGTCCCTGGATTTCCCATGTAACACCTTAGTTGTGTGAGCTCTACTGGATTCATTTTTCTACAACTGTAACTGAAGATGCTGGTCATCAACTTTAAAGTTATTTCTTTATTATAGCAATAGCGCTTAGAATGATATACTATCCACAGTGCTTTATCGCAATTTCGGTTTATTGTCCCCAACAATTTGGCTCATTTTACCAACCTCAGAAGGACGGAAGGCTGAGTCAACCGCCAGCCACATCAGGATCGAATTCCAGGCTGTGGAATACCATATTCTAACCACTGATTTACTAGGGTACCTGTCACTATTTTCCCACCTTTATTAGTTTTGAATCCATCTTTTCTACCAGGTCAGATAGGAGGGGCGTGCTCCTAGCCCCTTCCCTTCAATATTGCCATATGATAGGAGTTAGGAAGTGAGCCTTTTCCGTTGTAAACCCTGTCCTGTGAAACACTCTTTCCCCTGAAATTTGTTAGGCCTTTATCTTCCTGGTCGTCTCTAAAGCAAAAAAGATCTAGCTTTTCCACTAAGCACTGGGTTAATAAGATGAGAGGACTGCATATCAGAAGCTTGCATTGAAATAAAATGTTTGGTGTTTATGCATTTGGTTTTAATATGGTTTTTAAGTTAACTATTGATTGGGAGTCGACCAGAGTTTGTTATAATATGGATGGGTACATAACTATTTTAAATAAATCAGAGGAAAAAGAAATGAATCTGAAAAATGGCCCCACTGAAGGTGCCCATCTCCAAGTTGCTTGAGGCTTTGAAGGTCTATGCATTTATTCAATTATCAAATTTATGTTCCCCTAATCCTGAGGTTAATTTCTCTAACATAATTCTTTTCAGGGAGAAAGATTATCAGTTTTCAGCAAGAAAAGAACAACACATCAACATAATTAGTAAGGCCAGGAAGCCTGGTTAACTTCTAAATTGAACAAAAGCAAAAGTTTGGTTTTTTGGGATTCCCAGACCATCCAAATGCCATCAGCCTTGCTAGACGTGCCCTGTATTTGGAGGGAAAGAGCATGTTAAATGTGGAGGCTTTGCATTTTGTCATTTGCTATATATATGGAGTTTACTGGTTTCTGTATTAAGATTTTATTGCTGAATCTGTGTGGAGTCACCATGAGTTGGGCTGCCATATACATTTTTATGCTAATTAAAATAGATACTTAAAGTGATTATATCCCCCTGTATTATCTGTATAAATAATCAAGACAACAAACATACCTAATAGAGATCCAAATTCGCTTTCTCTGGCCCACCACAGCAGACCCTCTTGACTCCATGAAAGGGAACGTCTGCACTGGGCCGGAGAAAGGATGGTCAGATCTTTTTCCCCATATTTAATAATAAGATATGGTTGACGAAAAAGAATCATTCAACAAATTAAATTATAAATATCGCAGTTGGGCTTTCACTAAGAGACAAGGAACAAAACTCCAAATTCCCTTAAACAGATCAAACTTTTACTCATGTACAATTTCTTCTACGATAAGGGAGGAATTTTGTGCGAAACATTTTCCACAAACTGGGAATTTGAATGGTTACTCCCCTATGTGCACCCTTACATGATTTATAAGGCTAGACCTACTACTGAAATCTTTCCCACAATCCGGACACTCATATGGTTTTTCTCCTGTGTGAGTCCTCTTGTGTCTCTCCAGATGGGAACTCTGACTGAACGTTTTCCCACAATCTGGACACTCATATGGTTTCTCTCCCGTGTGAGTCCTCTTGTGTCTCTCCAGATGGGAATTACGCTTGAAACTTTTCCCACAATCTGGACACTCATATGGTTTCTCTTCCATGTGAGTCCTCTTGTGTCTCCCCAGGTGGGAATTACGCTTGAAATGTTTCCCACAATCTGGGCACTCATATGGTTTTTCTCCTGTGTGAGTCCTCTGGTGTTCAATAAGGTCGAAATTGCGACTGAAACCTTTCCCACAATCTGGGCACTCATACGGTTTTTCTCCTGTGTGAGTCCTCTGGTGTACCACCAGGTCAGAATTGCAACTAAAACCTTTCCCACAATGTGAACAATAGAGTCTCTCTCCTGTGTGCGTCGTCTGGTGTTTTACCAGGTGGGATTTGTGATTGAAATTTTTCCCACAATCAAGACACTCATATGGTTTTTCTCCTGTGTGAATCCTCTCATGTACCAACAGGTTCCAATTCTTACTGAAACTTTTCCCACAATACAGACACTCATACTGTTTCTCTCCTGTGTGAGTTCTCACTGTAGAATTCTGACTGAACATTTTGTTCATAATCTCATCTCATCTGGTTTCTCTGTCTGGAGTATAGCCAGGTCAGAATTCCAAGTAAAACTTTTCACACAATCAGGACATTCAAAAAGGTTTTCTCCACTGTCAGTCTTGTGCCTCGCCAAATTCATTTACATGCTAAATCTTTTGTCACATTGGAAGCACTGGTAGAGATGTTCCCCCTTCATTGGACATTCCATAAATCTTAGGAATCCTGTTTTGAGTAAAGCTTTTGCCACAATCCAAACATTTGAATGGGTTTTCAGGGAATGGATCCTCTTGTGCATCTGTGATCTGCAATTTGCGTTTTTCCCAAAATAGGCAGTTGGTAAGGTTTTTCCAACACTGATATTCTTAGATTCATGAGGGGGCCAAAAATTTTCTGATCCGTTATGTGGTGGATACTTTGATTCAAGACACTCTTTCCTTCCTCAACGGCTTTGATAAATGCCTTTGGCTATCCAAGGGACCTTTTCCTTTCCACTGATGTCCAGCTATTTCCCACATTTTCTGAATTTGATAATTATATCTTTTTACTTTTTCATGCAATATTTTCTTGAGTTCCATTTATTTTTTCCACCTGAAAATTCTTTTCCTGTAATTCTCTCCCTTGTCTCCCTCCATCTTCTGAGGAAAAAGAAGAGTGTTAATACTTTCTGGAAGAAGTGGAAAAGGTTTTGATTGATGCTTTGTTTTGTATTTTAATGCTGCTTCTCATTCTCGGTTGTTCAGACGGCTCTTCTTGACATCCACTTTGTCTTTAAGTTTCCTATTAATGGATTAGTTTCATTATTGTTTAAAAAACAGCTGCAGATCCTGTGAAAACAGCAAAAAAATCCACATATTACTATAAAAAAGGAAAGATATCAAAATGCTAGCTTAACCTGTAACTTTCATTAATAATTTTGTTCATTATTCCATTATTAGGCACATAGAAGACTAGAAAAATCCAAGTTGAAAAATCCACTCATATTTCAAATAATGAAAGTCTCTTGTGCAGAGGGTCCAAGCACACACATTATGCATGTACATGCTTCCGAACCTGTAGAGAAGGTAAGTAGATTTCATCCCTGTGGCCATCCATCCTTTGATATGCAACAAGGTACAGTTAGTGCTTGATTTATTTCACTTAATGACCATTTGAAGTTACAACAGCATTGAAAAAAGTGACATGACCATTTTTCACCCTTAAAGACCACTGCAGCATGCCCATGGTCATATGTTCAAAATGGAGATGATTGGCATTTGGGAGGCCTTGTACATGGGTTACTCATGCCTTGGTCTCATCCTGTTTGGATCATTGCACAGGACCACCCAGAAATTTCAACTGGTCCAGAATGCAGCAGCGCACATAGTAATGGGAGTCCCTGGATTTCCCATGTAACACGTTGGTTGTGTGAATTCCGCTGGATTCATTTCTCTACAACTGCAACTGAAGATGCTGGTCATCAACTTTAAAGTTATTTCTTTATTATAGCAATAGCGCTTAGAATGATATACTATCCACAGTGCTTTACAGCACTTTCGGTTTATTGTCCCCAACAATTTGCCTCATTTTACCAACCTCAGAAGGACGGAAGGCTGAGTCAACCGCCAACCCCATTAATTATGATTCATTTGGCATGTAGAAAACTAGCAGATCCAAATATCAACTCAATCTCAAAATTCTCCTTTTGGCTTGAGTTAATCACACATACAGTGCACTCAGAAAGTACTCAAAGTATTCTGATTCCCTTCACTTCTATCCGTTTTGTTATGCTGCAGCCCGATTCTACAGTTGTTAAAATTCATTTTTTCTCATTAATCTATTCCCATAATGACAAAGTAAAAACAGAATTTTAGAAATGTCTGTAAATTTATTAAAAAGAAAAAACTGAAATTTCACATTGGCATTCAGATCCTTCCCTCAGTACTTTGTTGAAGCACCTTTCAACAAGGTGCTTCTACAAAGCCTCAAGGGTTTTTTTGGTATGACATAAGAAGCTTTGCACACCTGGATTGGGGGATTTTCTGCCATTGTTCCTTGCAAGTCCTCTCAAACTCAGTCAGGTTGGATGGTAACCTTAGGTGGACAGCCATTTTCAGGTCCCTCCGGAAATGTTCAATAGGGTTGAAATGAGGGCTCGGTCTAGGCCACTCTAGGACATTCACAGAGTTGTCCCTAAGACACTCCTGTGTTGTCTTGGCTCTGGCTGAGCTCCAGAGATCCTGTGTGGAGATGGGAGAAAATTCCAAAAGAATCATCACTGCAGCCCTCCACCGATCTGGGGTTTATGGCAATGTGGCTGGGCGGAAGCCTCTCCTCAGTGCAAAACACACAAAAACCCGCTTGGAGTTTGCAAAAAAGCACCTGAAGGATTCTCAGACTGTGAGGAACAAGATTTTCTGGTCTGATGAAACCAAGATTGAACTGTTTAGCCTCAATTCTATGGTAAATGGCCTGGAGAAAACCAGGCACCGCTCATCACCTGCCCAATGTCATCCCAAGAGTGAAGCAAAGTGGTTGCAGAATCACGCTGTGGGGTTTTTTTCAGCAACAGGGATGGAGAGACTGGTCAGGGTTGAGGGAAAGATGAACGGAATAAAGTACAGGGATTTCCTCAATGAAACTCTGTTCCACAATGCTCAGGACCTTGACAACAATCCTAAGCACACAGCCAAGACAACACAGGAGTGGCTTAGGGACAACTCTGTGAATGTCCTAGAGTGGCCCAGCCAGACCCTGATTTGAACCCTATTAAACGTCTCTGAAGGGATCTGAAAATGGCTGCCCACCGATGGTTGCTATCCAACCTGACTGAGCTTGGGAGGACTTGCAAGCAAGAATTGTAGAAAACACCCCAGTCCAGGTGCGCAAAGCTTATCATCTCAGAGCCAAAAAGACTTGAGGCTCTAATCGCTGCCAAAGAAGCTTCAACAAAGTACTGAGTGAAGAGTCTGAATATTTATGTCAATAATTTCAGGTTTTTTTTTTTTAATTTGATTTATATGCCGCCCTTCTCCAGAGACTCAGGGCGGCTTACAATGCGCTAACAATGCGCTAAGCAATAACCTTCATACTTTTGTATATTTATACAAAGTCAGCTTATTGCCCCCACAACTGGGTCCTCAATTTACCTACCTTAGAAAGGATGGAAGGCTGAGTCAACCTTGAGCCTTGGTAAGATTCAAACCTGCAGTAATTGCAGGCAGCTGTGTTAATAACAGGATGCTCTAGACCACTGTACTATTCAAGGCTCTTTTTAATAAATTTACAGACATTTTTTAAAATTGTTTTCACTTTGTCATTATTGATGTAGATGAATGAGAAAAAATGAATTTCAACAAGTGTAAAATCAGGCTGCAACATAACAAAATTGACAGACATGAAAGGGGTCTGAATACTTTCTGAATATGTGTTCCTATTTACACAGAAATACACTTCTAAGAATTTATTTATGGAAACAGTTATGTGTATTTCAGTCTGCAAAATGCCCCAGAAGTGCATTGACTCAAATTTTTTTGATCTAATATTAGAGACATGCGGACATTAATAGATGAAATGGTGTCCAAATCCTGTGCAAGATTGAAAGCATCCCTTTAGTCCACGAAACTCCTCGCTTGCCAGGAAAGCAACATCTCAATAACATCACAAGGAATGAAAGGTGAAGGTGAGGGAGGTGGGTGGTTAAGAAACATGAAAAAATATATCAAGATTTATTTAAATCTCCCAGCAGAAAATCACAGGCAGCAACTTTAGATCATGCAGCAAAAGGATAAAAACATTTGGGGAGAGAAAGAACATGCAGCAGCAGCAGCAGACAAATGTTTCAGCCTCGTTGCTTCCTCTGCATCTACGCCGTGGAGGAAAGCAAAAGGCCTGAGTTGCTCCCGGCTTCTCCTCCGACCTTCCCTCCACTCACCTCCCAGGAGCCTCTTCCACCCTCCAAGCCGCTCCATCACCCTCCTCTAGGTCAGCCGGAAAATGAAAACCCACTATTTTCCTTTCCTCCACGTCCTCTCTAGAAATCTAATACTCTATGGTTTCAATAGGTTCTAGCTCCGTCTCCCTTTTTCCGCTGCTGTACTCTATTCTCTGCTTTCTGAGGGATTCTATGTACAGCGCCATCTAACGACATAAGCTTGAAAATCACCCTCGTCCTATCTCTAACCCTAAAAGGTTTGCATGAGGCTTTCATGGATTCCGTGGTTCCTTCTGTGTATTTGACTCCCACCGAGGAATAGCTTTCGTCCATGACAGTCTATGCTAAACCTTTTCTTTCAGGTCTCCCAAGAGGTCAAAAGTGCGAGGACCAGTCAAAAATAACTTTTTCAGCCCTCTGAGTAGTCCATATGCACAAAAGGACTAACCACAGGGCTGAAAAAAGTCATTTTTGACAGGTCCTCGCACTTTTGACTGGTCCTCACACTTATGACCATCCTCACATTTATGCCCGTGCAGCATTCTTAACCATTTCACTCATTTCACAACTGCTTCTCTTCACCATGATGACAAGATAGGGCAAAAATGTAAAATGTGAGGACAGTCGTAAGTTCAAGGACTGGTCAAAAGTGCGAGGACCAGTCAAAAATAACTTTTTCAGCCCTCTGAGTAGTCCATATGCACAAAAGGATACAGCAATAGAGAGGGATGAAGGAAGGGAAGGGAAATTAGAGTAGGAGTGAGGGTAAGAGAGGGAGGAAGAGAGGAGGAGAAGGAGAAAGGAAGAGGAAATAGGGAGGAGAAGAAGAGGGGGAGGAAGAGAAAGTAAGAAGGAAAGAAAAGAGAGAGGTGGTAGGTTTGAGGAGAAAGATTGCTGTACAATAAAAAAGAAGAAAGGGAAGAAAGCCAACCCCAAACAAATATAAAGATATTAATATAAAGAATGAATTGTTAAACTTTAAATAATAAAAGAGAACAAATAGCAATAAATAGCAATAATTAGAAACACACATACAAACATACAATGTATTTTCTTTGAACAGAATATTTGGCAGGTTCACAAATTTAAACAGTGTTTAGTCATTTCAATTAAATTTACAATATCTATATTTCCTTTTTGCCATATTTATTCCTCATCTATTTTTTTAAAAAAACAATATTACCCTTCATCCTCATCTCTAATCTTAATCAAATTCAATTTTTCCCTTCTATTCTATATTATACCCCTTCCCATTGTCATCTATTTTTATATCCATCCTCACATTGGTTAATTATGTAATTATGTAATACAGTTAAAACAAATTCAACATTTTAATATAAATCAATTAGTTATATAACTATCTTTTTTGTATATTAATCAATATGAACATGAATATTCCAATTATTTCCATGCAATCCAATTTCTTACAAATCAATTAATTATATTTACCAATAATAATAAACCAAATAATTTCCCCCATATATTCCTCCAAACCACAACTTTACCATTTCTGCTTTCAACACAATATACAATTAATAGTATCTCAATTATTACAATTCCCTAGTTAAATAGAGCTTTTTTTCTTTTGTGTTTTAAAATCTTGAACTCTCCTCTTTTGCCCTAAATTTCCCATTGTTTGCAGTTTTGCACCTACCTTTTTTGGTGAGGAAAAAGAAAAAGAAATCACTCTCTGCCTCATTTTGTCACGTTGCAGCAAAGACCCTGCTTTACATTCGCTTTCGCTTTTTCAGCATAGCTATGGGAAAAAAAGGCTCCAGGAACTCTTTGCAGCTAGCAACAGAACAGAGCCGGGCGCAAAACAGCTGAGAGCAAATCAGCTGAGAGTGGGGAAGCCGAGCTAATCAATGTGCAACTTCCTATGCGGAAGCTATAAGGGGCTGTTTTTTCTATTTTTGCAGGCATCGGTCTACTCATTTGTTTTCTTTTAACACTGATCAGCTGTAGGGCAGCCCTTTGAAGCCCCGCGGCAAGAGTTTAAAAAGTTTTTTTCTCTCTAGCCATCAGCTGGGACTCAGGAGGCAGCCGGGACTCAGGAGGCAGAATGAAAAATCGGGACTTTTTTAAAGCACCGCGGGACGCGGGACAAATTGCTAAAAATCGGGACTGTCCCGCCAAAAGCGGGACGTCTGGTTACCTTAAGCTAGACCTTACTTAGCTTCACAAGATTAGCCAGGTGCTGCATCATAAAAGTTGATAAAGGTCTTGTTTGTTTGTTCAGCCTTAAACGATTGCCAGCTTCATATCCCTTTAATAGAAGAATGATAGGGGACAAAACCTTGAAGTGCCTACCCACATTGCTTCCAAACACACCTAGATAGGAGATAATATTTTTCCCTCTGCATTCTTGCAGCTGGAACTGCCCTCAGTAAGCAACCTGGTTGGCAGGATGGATGGCCTCCCCTACCAATTCCATGTAGCTGTTACCTACATGGAACTGCTAGGGGAAGCCATCCATCCTATCATATCCAATTATGTACAGGTAGTCCTCAATTTACTACATTTAGTGACCATTTCCACTTACGTCATTGAAAAAAAGAGACATGACTATTTTTCATACTTAAGGGCCATTGAAGCATTGTCACATGATGAAAATTCAAACTCTGGGCAATTGACTTATCTTTGTGAGTTGCAGTATCCTGGGGTCATGTGATCCCCCTTTCGTGACTGCGCAAGTTCACAACTTTGGGATTCTCCTGGGCAAACAATTCCTGCTTGAGGCTGCAATGACTGGGGGAGGGGCTTTCAACAGATTCATCGCGTGCACCAATTGTGCCCTTTCCTGGACCGGGATGCATTGCACAGGGGGTCACTCTTCCCTTGGTCACCTCGTTTCAATCTCTGCACTGGACCACTAGAAGACTTCAAATGGTCCAGCACACAGCAGCGCACACAGTAACGGAGGCCCCTAGGTTGCCTATGTAACATCTTTCTGGCGCGAGCTACACAGGATTCATTTAAGGTGCAATTCAAGATCTTCACCTTTAAAGCTATTTATTATATCTATAGCAATCAGACATATATACCACTTATATACTACTACACTGTGGTTTGTACACTCTTGGTTTACAGTGTCAGTGTATTGTCCCCAACCATCTGGGTCCTCATTTTACCGATCTCAGAATGACGGAGGGCTGAGTCAACCTCAAGGCATGTCAGGACCGGATCCCATGCTGTGGGCAGTCAGCCAGCAATGCTGTATTCTAACCACAGGTTGAAAAGGATGAGCAGGTTAAAAATACATACATGTTTATATCCCTCTATATTATATGTAGAAGTAACTCAAAGCAACTAATATACCTAATAGAGAAACAAACTTGCTTTCTTTGGCCGAGCAATGGCAGCTCCCCTTGGCTCAGTGAAAGGGATTGATGGCACTGGGCCAAACTAAGGAAGCTCAGATCTCATTCATGCTTAATAATAAGTCATACTTCATTAAAAAGAATTGCAAAAGAAATTAAATTATCAATTTCTCAGCTGGGCTTTCAGTAAGAGATAAACAAAATTCAAGATTCCTCTAAACAAATCAAATTTATCCTCGTGGAATTTCTTCTGTGATAAGGGAGGAATTTTCTATGAAACATTTTCCACAAAGTGGGCATTTGAATGTTTACTCCCCTATGTGCACCCTTACATGATTTATAAGGCTAGACCTATATCTGAAATCTTTCCCACAATCTGGACACTCATACGGTTTTTCTCCTGTGTGCATCCTCTTGTGTTTCATCAAGTCAGAATTTTGATAGAAACCTTTCCCGCAATCAGGACACTTATATGGTTTCTCCCCAGTGTGAGTTCTCTGGTGTATCACCAGGCTCGAATTCTGACTGAAACTTTTCCCACAATCTGGACACTCATATGGTTTCTCTCCTGTGTGAGTCCTCTTGTGTATCACCAAGCTGGAATTTCGATGGAAACCTTTCCCACAATCAGGACACTGATATGGTTTCTCTCCTGTGTGAATCCTCTGGTGAATCACCAGGCAGTAATTCTCACTGAAACTTTTCTCACAATCCAGACATTCAAATGGTTTCTCTCCAGTGTGAGCCTTCTTGTGTTTTACCAGTTTGGAATTACCCTTGAAACTTTTCCCACAATCCGGGCACTCATAAGGTTTCTCTCCTGTGTGAGTCCTCTGGTGTTCCATAAGGGAGGAATTCCGACTGAAACCTTTCCCACAATACAGACACTCATATGGTTTCTCCCCAGTGTGAGTTCTCTGGTGCATCACCAGGTTTGAATTCTGACTGAAACTTTCCCCACAATACAGACATTCATATGGTTTCTCTCCCGTGTGAGTCCTCTGATGTTTCACCAGCTTCGAATTCTGACTAAATTTTTTCCCACAATCCAGACACTCATACTGTTTCTCTCCTGTGTGAGTTCTCTTGGGTATACTCACTGTAGAATTCTGATTTAACATTTTGTTCATAATCTCATCTCATCTGGTTTCTCTGTCTGGAGTATAGCCAGGTCAGCATTCCAAGTAAAACTTTTCACACAATCAGGACATTCAAAGAGGTTTTCTCCACTGTCAGTCTTGTGCCTCGCCAAATTCATTTACATGCTAAATCTTTTGTCACATTGGAAGCACTGGTAGAGATGTTCCCCCTTCATTGGACATTCCATAAATCTTAGGAATCCTGTTTTGAGTAAAGCTTTTGCCACAATCCAAACATTTGTATGGGTTTTCAGGGAATGGATCCTCTTGTGCATCTGTGATCTGCAATTTGCGTTTTTCCCAAAATAGGCAGTTGGTAAAGTTTTTCCAACACTGATATTCTTAGATTCATGAGGGGGCCAAAAATTTTCTGATCCGTTATGGGGTGGATACTTTGATTCAAGACACTCTTTCTTTCCTCAACGGCTTTGATAAATGCCTTTGGTTATCCAAGGGACCTTTTCCTTTCCACTGATGTCCAGCTATTTCCCACGTTTTCTGAATTTGATAATTATATCTTTTTACTTTTTCATGCAATATTTTCTTGAGTTCCACATAATTTATTTTTTCCACCTGAAAATTCTTTTCCTGTAATTCTCTCCCTTTTCTCCCTCCATTTGCTGAGGAAAAAGAAGAGTGTTAACACTTTCTGGAAGAAGTGGAAAAGGTTTTGATTGATGCTTTGTTTTGCATTTTAATGCTGCTTCTCATTCTCGGTTGTTCAGGCGGCTCTTCTTGACATCCACTTTGTCTTTAAGTTTCCTATTAATGGATTAGTTTCACTGTTGTTTAAAAAACGGCTGCAAATCCTGTGAAAACAGCAAAAAAATCCACTTATTACTATGAAAAAGGAAAGATATCAAAATGCTACCTTAACCTGTAACTTTCATTAATAATTTTGTTCATTATTTCATTATTAGGCACATAGAAGACTAGAAAAATCCAAGTTGAAAAATCCACTCATATTTCAAATCATGAAAGTCTCTTGCTGGCTTGGGTTAAACAGAAATTATTATAATTTTTACAAACAATTATCCTCTGACCTTCCCTCCACTCACCTCCCAGGAGCCGCTTCCACCCTCCAAGCCGCACAAGAGGCTCCAACATGCTCCTGTGGCTGAGCCGGCAGTTCCTCTGCCCTTCGTCTCCACATCCTCTCTAGCAAGTCCAATCCTCTATCATTTCAACTTGTTTCATCTCCGCCTCTATCCCTCCAGTAGACGAGCAATGCCGCTACTGTATTGTGTTTACAGCTTTTTAGGCACGAGTGTCGCTCATTTCTAGAGCGCCATCTAGTGACATAAGGTTGAAAAACACGCTCCTTCTATTTTCACCCTAAAATGCTTGCAAGATGTTTTCATTGATGCCAGGTTTGCCCTCACTAAGCAAGGTGATTTAATATCCCCATGAAACCGCTAGGGGAGGCTATCCAGGGATGAAATGCTACCACTTCAGCTGAACTGGTCGCGGCGGTGGCACATGGTTCAGAGAACCGGTGGCAGCAGCACAAGGATCTGCCCACCCGCCCAGATGTCATTACTTCCTGGTTTGAACCAGGAAGTAACCTGCTTTTGACCCTCGGCTTTGCGCATGTGCAGAGGGTCCAAGCACGCACGTGACACGCTTACACGCTTCCGAACCTGTAGGAAAGGTAAGTAGATTTCACCTTGTGGCCATCTATCCTGTGGTATGCAACAAAGTACAGGAAGTGCTCGATTTACTTCACTTAGTGACCATTTGAAGTTACAACAGCATTGAAAAAAGTGACATGACCATTTTTCACCCTTAAAGACCATTGCAGCATACCTATGGTCATATGTTCAAAATGGAGATGCTTGGCATTTGGGAGGCCTTGTACATGGGTTACTCGTGCCTTGGTCTCATCCTGTTTGGATCATTGCACAGGAATGCACCCAGAAAGTTCAACTGGTCCAGAATGCAGCAGCGCACATAGTAATGGGAGTTCCTAGATTTCCCATGTAACACCTTAGTTGTGTGAGCTCTACTGGATTCATTTTTCTACAACTGCAACTGAAGATGCTGGTCATCAACTTTAAAGTTATTTCTTTATTATAGCAATAGCGCTTAGAATGATATACTATCCACAGTGCTTTACAGCACTTTCGGTTTATTGTCCCCAATTTGGCTCATTTTACCAACCTCAAAAGGACGAAAGGCTGAGTCAACCGCCAGCCCCATCAGGATCGAATTCCAGGCTGTGGAATACCATATTCTAACCACTGAGCGACTAGGGCTCCTGTCACTATTTTCCTACCTTTATTAGTTTTGAATCCATCTTTTCTACCAGGTCAGATAGGATGGGCACGCTCCTAGCCCCGTCCCTTCAATATTGCCATATGATAGGAGTTGGGAAGTGAGCCTTTTCCGTTGCAAACCCTGTCCTGTGAAACACTCTTTCCCCTGAAATTTGTTAGGCCTTTATCTTCCTGGTCGTCTCTAAAGCAAAAAAGATCTAGCTTTTCCACTAAGCACTGGGTTAATAAGATGAGAGGACTGCATATCAGAAGCTTGCATTGAAATAAAATGTTTGGTGTTTATGCATTTGGTTTTAATATGGTTTTTAAGTTAACTATTGATTGGGAGTCGACCAGAGTTTGTTATAACATGGATGGGTACATAACTATTTTAAATAAATCAGAGGAAAAAGAAATGAATCTGAAAAATGGCCCCACTGAAGGTGCCCATCTCCAAGTTGCTTGAGGCTTTGAAGGTCTATGCATTTATTCAATTATCAAATTTATATTCCCCTAATCCTGAGGTTAATTTCTCTAACATAATTCTTTTCAAGGAGAAAGATTATCAGTTTTCAGCAAGAATAGCACAACACATCAACATAATTAGTAAGGCCAGGAAGCCTGGTTAACTTCTAAATTGAACAAAAGCAAAAGTTTGGTTTTTTGGGATTCCCAGACCATCCAAATGCCATCAGCCTTGCTAGACGTGCCCTGTATTTGGAGGGAAAGAGCATGTTAAATGTGGAGGCTTTGCATTTTGTCATTTGCTATATATATATGGAGTTTACTGGTTTCTGAATTAAGATTTTATTGCTGAAACAGTGTGTAGTCACCATGAGTTGGGCTGCCATATACATTTTTATGCTAATTAAAATACATACAGTGTTTATATACCCCTGTATTATATATAGAAATAACTCAAGACAACAAACATACCTAACAGAGATCCAAATTCTCTTTCTCTGGCCCACCACGGCAGACCCTCTTGACTCCGTGAAAGGGAACGTCCGCAGTGAGCCGGAGAAAGGATGGTCAGAACTTCTTACTCATGTTTAATAATAAGACATGATTGACTAAAAGAATCATGCAACAAATTAAATTATCAATATCTCAGTTGGGCTTTCACTAAGAGACAAGGAACAAAACTCCAAATTCCTCTAAACAGATAATATTTTTCCTCATGTGGAATTTCTTCTCTGATAAGGGAGGAATTTTGTGCGAAACATTTTCCACAAATTGGGAATTTTGAATGGTTACTCTCCTATGTGTAACCTTACATGATTTATAAGGTTAGACCTACTACTGAAATCTTTCCCACAATCCGGACACTCATATGGTTTTTCTCCTGTGTGAGTCCTCTTGTGTATCACCAGATGGGAACTCTGATTGAATGTTTTCCCACAATCTGGACACTCATATGGTTTCTCTCCCGTGTGAGTCCTCTTGTGTCTCTCCAGATGGGAATTACGCTTGAAACTTTTCTCACAATCCAGACACTCATATGGTTTATCTCCCGTGTGAGTCCTCTTGTGTCTCCCCAGATGGGAATTACGCTTGAAACGTTTCCCACAATCTGGGCACTCATATGGTTTTTCTCCTGTGTGAGTCCTCTGGTGTTCAATAAGGGCGGAATTGCGACAGAAACTTTTCCCACAATCTGGGCACTCATACGGTTTTTCTCCTGTGTGAGTCCTCTGGTGTACCACCAGGTCAGAATTGCAAGTAAAACCTTTCCCACAATGTGAACAATACAGTTTTTCTCCTGTGTGCATCGTCTGGTGTTTCACCAGGTGGGATTTGTGATTAAAACTTTTCCCACAATCAAGACACTCATATGGTTTTTCTCCAGTGTGAGTTCTCTGGTGTATCACCAGGTTCGAATTCTGACTGAAACTTTTCCCACAATACAGACACTCATAAGGTTTCTCTCCTGTGTGAGTCCTCTTGTGTGTCACCAGGTCGGAATTCTGACTGAACCTTTTCCCACAATCCGGACACTCATATGGTTTCTCTCCTCTGTGACACCTCTGGTGTAGCACCAGCTTGGAGTTCTCCTTGAAACTTTTCCCACAAACCAGACACTCGTATGGTTTCTCTCCTGTGTGAGTTCTCTGGTGTATCACCAGCTTAGAATTCTGCTGGAAACTTTTCCCACAATCTGGACACTCATATGGTTTTTCTCCTGTGTGAGTCCTCTGGTGTATCACCAGATTGGTTTCCATGCTAAATATTTTGTCACAATGTTGTGGCCTGTCAATGGCCTGTATAGATTGTAGCTGATTCCGACGAGGAGACTGGTGTGGTGCTGCGCCAGCAGCCTGCGCAGCTGGCGCTCGAGTCGGACAGTGAGGAGGCTGGAGAAGATGTGGTGCCAGAGGCAGGGATTCAGCCAGGGCCTTCAGAACCTCCAGAAGCTCCTTTAAGTGAAGAGGATGAAGAGGAGGAGCCTCTTCTCAATGCATGGGCGCGCAGAGCTGCCAAAAGGCAGGAGTGGCTCCTCAGGAGGTCTCTTCAAGAGTAAGGCTTGGGGCTAATTGGCTAAGCCTATTTAGGGAGGAATGCCGCTTGCAGCAAACTGTAGGGAACAACTTTAGTTCAATCTCCTTCGTGTCTGGATTCTCTGCAAAATTGTTTCTGGGCTTTCTGCCAACTCTAGTAAGACTGTGATTACCTTATCTTAGAATTCTGGTAGGCTGTTAAGACCTATTAACAGCCTTTGGTTGATAAAGACTAAGTTATTTGAGTAAAATAAGATTTGTATAGAGTTTGTGTGCGCTGCGTTCTTTGGGGTCCGTAGCTGGGGCAGAACACACAATGGGAGCATCGGTACAGTATCACTTCAGTATGGGTCCTTCCACGAATCACGAGAGACCTTTTCTGAGTAAAGCTTCTGACGCACCCCAAACAAACATTTGTATGGCTTTTCACGCGGTGGCTCGACTTATGCATCAAACACATGTGATCTGGGATCTGTGTTTTTCCCACAATAGGCAGTCTGTGGGGATTTTCCAACACTAATATTCTTGGATTCTTGAGGAGGCCAATAATGTTTCTGTACTCTTACCTGGTGGTTCTTTGATTCAACCTACTCTTTCCTTCCGCAAAGGCTTTCGTTAATGTCTGTCAGTTTTGGCTATCCACGAAACCTTTTTCTTCCCACTGACTTCTTTATTTAGAAATTATCCTCCTTAATTTCTCATGTAATGTTTCCTTGAGCTCCGGGCACTCTTATTTTTTCCCAGCTGAAAGCTTTGCTCTTATAATTCTCTATATCATCTCTCATAAGCTGAAGGAGAAGTTTTTACACTTTCTGGAGAAAGTGGAAGATTTTGACTGATGGCTTCTTTTGCATTTTAATGCTGCTTCTCATTATCTGTTGTCCACAGTGCTCTTTTTGGCATCCTGTTTATCTGTAAGATTAATATTAATCGGTTAGTTTCATTATTCTTTAAAAATGGCTACATGATATGCGAAAGCAGCAGAAATACCCCATATATTACCATGAAAAAACAAACATAAAAATGCGAGTTTAACCTATAACATTTATTACGATTCATTTGGCATGTAGAAGGCTAGCAGATCCAAATATCAACTCAATCTCAAAATTCTCCTTTTGGCTTGAGTTAATCACACATACAGTGCACTCAGAAAGTACTCAAAGTATTCTGATTCCCTTCACTTCTATCCGTTTTGTTATGCTGCAGCCCGATTCTACAGTTGTTAAAATTCATTTTTTCTCATTAATCTATTCCCATAATGACAAAGTAAAAACAGAATTTTAGAAATGTCTGTAAATTTATTAAAAAGAAAAAACTGAAATTTCACATTGGCATTCAGATCCTTCCCTCAGTACTTTGTTGAAGCACCTTTCAACAAGGTGCTTCTACAAAGCCTCAAGGGTTTTTTTGGTATGACATAAGAAGCTTTGCACACCTGGATTGGGGGATTTTCTGCCATTGTTCCTTGCAAGTCCTCTCAAACTCAGTCAGGTTGGATGGTAACCTTAGGTGGACAGCCATTTTCAGGTCCCTCCGGAAATGTTCAATAGGGTTGAAATGAGGGCTCGGTCTAGGCCACTCTAGGACATTCACAGAGTTGTCCCTAAGACACTCCTGTGTTGTCTTGGCTCTGGCTGAGCTCCAGAGATCCTGTGTGGAGATGGGAGAAAATTCCAAAAGAATCATCACTGCAGCCCTCCACCGATCTGGGGTTTATGGCAATGTGGCTGGGCGGAAGCCTCTCCTCAGTGCAAAACACACAAAAACCCGCTTGGAGTTTGCAAAAAAGCACCTGAAGGATTCTCAGACTGTGAGGAACAAGATTTTCTGGTCTGATGAAACCAAGATTGAACTGTTTAGCCTCAATTCTATGGTAAATGGCCTGGAGAAAACCAGGCACCGCTCATCACCTGCCCAATGTCATCCCAAGAGTGAAGCAAAGTGGTTGCAGAATCACGCTGTGGGGTTTTTTTCAGCAACAGGGATGGAGAGACTGGTCAGGGTTGAGGGAAAGATGAACGGAATAAAGTACAGGGATTTCCTCAATGAAACTCTGTTCCACAATGCTCAGGACCTTGACAACAATCCTAAGCACACAGCCAAGACAACACAGGAGTGGCTTAGGGACAACTCTGTGAATGTCCTAGAGTGGCCCAGCCAGACCCTGATTTGAACCCTATTAAACGTCTCTGAAGGGATCTGAAAATGGCTGCCCACCGATGGTTGCTATCCAACCTGACTGAGCTTGGGAGGACTTGCAAGCAAGAATTGTAGAAAACACCCCAGTCCAGGTGCGCAAAGCTTATCATCTCAGAGCCAAAAAGACTTGAGGCTCTAATCGCTGCCAAAGAAGCTTCAACAAAGTACTGAGTGAAGAGTCTGAATATTTATGTCAATAATTTCAGGTTTTTTTTTTTTAATTTGATTTATATGCCGCCCTTCTCCAGAGACTCAGGGCGGCTTACAATGCGCTAACAATGCGCTAAGCAATAACCTTCATACTTTTGTATATTTATACAAAGTCAGCTTATTGCCCCCACAACTGGGTCCTCAATTTACCTACCTTAGAAAGGATGGAAGGCTGAGTCAACCTTGAGCCTTGGTAAGATTCAAACCTGCAGTAATTGCAGGCAGCTGTGTTAATAACAGGATGCTCTAGACCACTGTACTATTCAAGGCTCTTTTTAATAAATTTACAGACATTTTTTAAAATTGTTTTCACTTTGTCATTATTGATGTAGATGAATGAGAAAAAATGAATTTCAACAAGTGTAAAATCAGGCTGCAACATAACAAAATTGACAGACATGAAAGGGGTCTGAATACTTTCTGAATATGTGTTCCTATTTACACAGAAATACACTTCTAAGAATTTATTTATGGAAACAGTTATGTGTATTTCAGTCTGCAAAATGCCCCAGAAGTGCATTGACTCAAATTTTTTTGATCTAATATTAGAGACATGCGGACATTAATAGATGAAATGGTGTCCAAATCCTGTGCAAGATTGAAAGCATCCCTTTAGTCCACGAAACTCCTCGCTTGCCAGGAAAGCAACATCTCAATAACATCACAAGGAATGAAAGGTGAAGGTGAGGGAGGTGGGTGGTTAAGAAACATGAAAAAATATATCAAGATTTATTTAAATCTCCCATCAGAAAATCACAGGCAGCAACTTTAGATCATGCAGCAAAAGGATAAAAACATTTGGGAAGAGAAAGAACATGCAGCAGCAGCAGCAGCTGCCAAGTTTCAGCCTCGTTGCTTCCTCTGCTTCATACAAAGTGGAGGAAAGAAAGCAAAGGGCCCAACTTCTCCTCCGGCTTCTCCTCCGACCTTCCCTCCACTCACCTCCCAGGAGCCGCTTCCACCCTCCAAGCAGCACAAGAGGCTCCGCCGACGCCATCCCCTGGGTGAGCCGGAAGAGGAAGAACCTTGTGAACCTCCTTTCGTCCACATCCACTCTACCAATCTAATACTCTATAGTTTCAATTGGTTCTAGCTCGGCGTCTCTTTTTCCGCTGCTGTACTCTATTCTCTGCTTTCTAGGGGATTCTATGTACAGCGCCATCTATCGACGTAGATAATACATTTCGGGCACCAATTGTGCCCTATCCTGAACCGGGATGCATTGCACAAGGGGTTTTTTGTTTTTTTTTAAATTTGATTTATATGCCGCCCTTCTCCGGAGACTCAGGGCGGCTTACAATGCGTTAAGCAATAGCCTTCATTCTTTTGTATATTTTATACAAAATCAGCTTATTGCCCCCACAAACTGGGTCCTCATTTCACCTACCTTAGAAAGGATGGAAGGCTGAGTCAACCTTGAGCCTTGGAGAGATTTGAACCAGCAGAAATTGCAGGCAGCTGTGTTAATGACAGGGTGCACTAAACCACTGTACTATCAAGGCTCTTGATACTCTTGCCTTGGTCACCTTGTTTGAATCCCTGCACTGAACCACTAGAGACATCAACTGAATGCAGCAGTGCACACAGTAATGGAGGCCCCTGGGTTGCCTATGTCTTGCATCTTTGTGGTGCGAGCTACACAGGATTCATTTAAGGTGCAATACAAGCTCATAGAAGCTATTTATTATAGCAATAGCAATCAGACATATATACCACTTATATACCACTACACTGTGCTTTGTACACTCTCAGTTTACAGCATCAGCATATTGTCCCCAACCATCTGGGTCCGCATTTTACCGATCTCAAAATGACGGATGGCTGAGTCAACTTAGAGGCATATCGGGACCGGATTCCATGCTGTGGGCTGTCAGCCTGCAATACTGTATTCCAACCACAGGTTGAAAAGGATGTTAAAATGTATGGTTGAAGTAGAGAATTAACAGAATTAGATCAGATATTAACATGGACAGATGAAAAATTAATAAAGAAAATATATAGCTATTTTTAAGTATGAAGATGGAAGATGAACAAGTAAAAGAGACAATGATAGTATGGGCTAAGAAGGAGCTAGAAACAGGGAAATATATGAAACAATCAGTGATACAAGGAAAACGGGTTAAATTCGTTAAACAAATAGTATGACTATGATCGGTATTAATATATATTGATATAAATGTGATGAATATTATTGTATACATTTTGAATATTACTTCGTAAAATGATTTGTACCCAGACAACACACTGTTCAATTGAAGGTGGAATTTTTATACACTATAAAATAAAATAAACATTTATACAAAAAAGAAAGATGTCAAGTAAAAATACATACATGTTTATATCCCCCTATATTATATGTAGAAAGAACTCAAGGCAACTAATATACCTAATGGAGAAACAAACTCACTTTCTCTGGCCCAGCAATGGCAGTTCCCCTTGGCTCAGTGAAAGGGGCCAAACTAATATAAATATAATATAAATATAATATAATATGAAACTGGGCCAAACTAAGGAAGCTCAGATCTCCTCTCTCATGTTTAATAATAAGACATGCTTCACTGAAAAGAATCACACAAGAAATTAAATTATCAATTTCTCAGCTGGGCTTTCAGTAAGAGACAAGAAACAAAATTCAAGATTCCTGTAAACAAATCAATTTTTTCCTCATGTGGAATTTCTTCTGTGATAAGGAAGGAGTTTTGTGTGAAACATTTTCCACAAACTGGGCAATTGAATAGTTACTCCCCTATGTGCACCCTTACATGATTTATAAGGCTAGACCTATATCTGAAATCTTTCCCACAATCTGGACACTCATACGGTTTTTCTCCTGTGTGAGTCCTCTTGTGTTTCATCAAATCGGAATTTTGATAGAAACCTTTCCCGCAATCAGGACACTTATACGGTTTCTCTCCTGTGTGAATCCTCTGATGCACCACAAGGTTGGAATTCAGACTGAAACTTTTCTTACAATCCGGACACTCAAATGGCTTTTCTCCTGTGTGAGTCCTCTTGTGTATCACCAAGTCGGAATTTCGATGGAAACCTTTCCCGCAATCAAAACACTGATATGGTTTCTCTCCTGTGTGAATCCTCTGGTGAATCACCAGGTAGTAATTCTCACTGAAACTTTTCCCACAATCTAGACACTCAAATGGTTTTTCTCCAGTGTGAGTCTTCTTATGTTTTACCAGCTTGGAATTTTGATTGAAACATTCCCCACAATCCGGACACTTATATGGTTTCTCTCCTGTGTGAGTCCTCTGGTGTATCACCAACTTGGAATTACGCTTGAAACTTTTCCCACAATCTGGACACTCGTATGGTTTTTCTCCTGTGTGAGTCCTCTGGTGTTCCACAAGGTTAGAATTCCGACTGAAACTTTTCCCACATTCTGGACACTCATATGGTTTTTCTCCTGTGTGTGTCCTCTGGTGTATCACCAGCTTGGAATTACGCTTGAAACTTTCCCCACAATCTGGACACTGATATGGTTTCTCTCCTGTGTGAGTCCTCTGGTGTTCCACAAGGTTGGAATTCCGACTGAAACGTTTCCCACATTCTGGACACTCATATGGTTTTTCTCCTGTGTGAGTCCTCAGGTGTACCATCAGGTCAGAATTGCAACTAAAACCTTTCCCACAATCTGAACAATAGAGTTTCTCTCCTGTGTGCATCGTCTGGTGTTTCACCAGGTGGGATTTGTGATTGAAACTTTTCCCACAATCCAGACACTCATATGGTTTTTCTCCCGTGTGAATCCTCTGGTGTACCAACAGGTTCCAATTCTTACTGAAACTTTTCCCACAATACAGACATTCATATGGTTTCTTTCCCGTGTGAGTCCTCTGATGTTTCACCAGCTTTGAATTCTGATTAAATTTTTCCCCACAATCCAGACACTCATACAGTTTCTCTCCTGTGTGAGTTATCTTGGCTATACTCAGTGTAGGATTCTGATTTAACATTTTGTTAAACATTTTGTTCATAATCTCATCTCATCTGGTTTCTCTGTCTGGAGTATAACCAGGTCAGAATTCCATGTAAAACTTTTCACACAATCTGGACATTCAAAGAGGTTTTCTCCACTGTCAGTCTCCTTGTGCCTCGCCAAATTCGTTTACATGCTAAATCTTTTCTGTTAATTCTATTAATTGGGAGCACTGGTAGAGATGTTCCTCCTGCATTGGCCGTTCCATAAATCTTAGGAATCCTGTTCTGAGTAAAGCTTTTGCCACAATCCAAACATTTGTATGGGTTTTTGGGAATGGATCCTCTTGTGCATCTGTGATCTGCAATTTGTGTTTTTTCCAAAATAGGCAGTGGTTGAGGTTTTTCCAACACTGATATTCTTAGATTCATGAGGGGGCCAAAAATATTTCTGATTCGTTATGTAGTAGTTATATGCCCAGACAGCTCTTCTTGACATCCACTTTGTCTGTAAGATTCCTATTAATGGATTAGTTTCATTATTGTTTAAAAAATGGCTGCAGATCCTGGGGAAACAGCAAAAAAATCCATATATTACTACGAAAAAGGAAAGATATCAAAATGCTAGTTTAACCTATAACTTTCATTAATAATTTCATTATTTCATTATTAGGCACATAGAAGACTAGAAAAATCAGAGTTGAAAAATCCACTCATATTTCAAATCATGAAAGTCTCTTGTTGGCTTGGGTTAACCAGAAATTATTATAATTGCAAACTCTAGCTGACCAAATTATGGAGGTTGAAGCCAAATACCCTGATTCACTGGCCATTATTTTGGGAGATCTAAACAAGGCAAACTTAAGAAAAGAGCTACTAAAATACTTTCAGCATGTCAATTGTCCCACTAGAGGCAAGAATAATTTAGACCACTGCTGCACAACATTAAAAGATGCTTATCGGTCCTTACTATGAGCAGCTGTGCGACACTCTGATCATTGCATGATTCACCTTGTACCAGCTTACAGGCAAAGACTTAAAACCAGTAAACCAACAATTAAATCAGTGAAGACCTGGCTGGAGGAGGCAAAGTTAAAGCTACAGGCCTGCCTTGACTGCACTGATTGGAATGTTCTACAGAGGAATTATTGAGTCTGTCATCTACACCTCTATAACTGCTCTGCAACCCAACAAGACAGACACAGACTTCAGAGGATAATTAGAACTGCAGAAAAAACAATGGCTACCAACCTGCCTTCCATTAATGACCTGTATACTGCATGAGTCAAAAAGAGGGCTGTGAAAATATTTACAGATCCCTCACATCCTGGACATAAACTGTTTCAACTCCAACCCTCAAAACAACGCTATAGAGCACTGCACACCAGAACAACTAGACACAAGAACATTTTCCCCCGAATGCCATCACTCTGCTAAACAAATACTTCCCTCAACACTGTCAAACTATTTACTAAGTCTGCATTACTATTAATCTTCTCATCGTTCCCACCACCCATCTCCTTCCACTTATGACTGTATGACTGTTTTGTTGCTTGTATCCTTACAATTTATATTGATATTGTTTCCGGATTGCTTATTTGTACCCTATGACTATCATTAAGTGTTGTACCTTATGATTCTTGATGAACGTGTCTTTTCTTTTATGTACACTGAGAGCATATGCACCAAGACAAACTCCTTGTGTGTCCAATCACTCTTGGCCAATAAAAAATTCTAATTCTAATTCTGTTGTTATAAAAAATACCTGAAAATACTGAGTTTTATACAGATACACGCATATGCATTCATACAAATCTATAAATGTATGTATATAGATTTTTTTTATTTCACTCCTAAAAATGTTTCAGGAGTGGATTTACTCAACTTGTTTGATCTAATTTTAGAAAGGTGGGGGACACTAACAGATGAGATGGTGCCCAAGTCCTATGCAAGTTTTAAAGCATCCGTTTTGCCCACGAAATTCCTCGCTTGCCAGAAAAGCAACAGATCAATAACATCATAAGGAATTAAGCGTTACGGGAAGCCCGAGGGAGATAAGAAATATGGGGGGGAGGAAATACCTTTTATATGTCCCAAATCTCCCAGCGGTGAAATCACAGGCAGCAACTTTAAATCCTGCAACCCAAGGAATAAAATTTGGAGAGAGAAAGAATATAGAATATGATGCAGCAGCAGCAGCCCAGATGTAGCATTCTTGTCCCTTCGCTGCTTCCAGGCCGAGGAGGAACCAAAGGGCCCGACTTGCTCCCGGCTTCTCCTCCGACCTTCCCTCCACTCACCTCCCAGGAGCCTCTTCCACCCTCCAAGCAGCACAAGAGGCTCCCCCGACGCCATCACGTGGATAAGCCTCTCTTCTCCTCCACTCTAGCAATCTAATACTCTATCATTTCAATTCATTCTAGCTCGGCTTCTCACCCTTTGGTATAATGTCAGTAGTAGCGATGCCGCTGTACTCTGTTCACTGCTTTCTAAGGCGTGAGTGTTGCTTCTTTGTAGAGCGCCATCTAGCGACATAAAGTTAAAAATCACCCTGATACTATCTTTACCCTGAAGCGTTCGCAAGTGGTTCCTTCTGTGCGTTCGACCCCCCACTGTTGTGGAATGATGGGACCAAACAACATTCCTTGGTCAGCCAGAGACAGTTTTATTGCGCGGTTTCAGAACCAGATTTGTATCTGCAATTCTGAACAAGGAAAGAGCCCTGATATAACTGCTTTTATACATATCCAAGACAAAGGATTCTGCTGGCACATCAGTTTTCCATATATGGTTAATATACATCTGTTACATGATAACTGACACTTTTTAATTACCAAATTCCTGCCTTAATTTATAGTACATGAGATAATTGTAGCTAAACGTCCTCCTCTTCTGTAATCACTGATGCATAGATCCATGGCTGGCCTTGGATTAATAAGTAACTTTTTGTTTCAGATGGATGTCTCTGCATCCTTGACAGATATCTTCCTCGGAAGATATATATTATACATGGTCCTTGCATCTTTGACAGATAGGCCCCTTAAAAGATATATGTTGCCAAGAATGGAATTTAGCTGACAGTGTAGTCTCTGAACAAGCACATTTCTTTCTTTATAATAATGTGAATAGAGGGTCCTCCAGTGTTCATATCGTTGACATTATATCATTCCCATTATTATATTATTCACATTATTCACTTTACCACTGAGCACAGGAATAGTTTTCGTCCATGACAATCTATGCTAAACCTTTTCTTTCAGGTCTCCCAAGAGTTCACTCACTGTCCCTCTTCCTCCAACTAAACCAAAGGAAAGGGTCCAAGGGGGGGTGGGATGACATATACTGTAACAGCCAACGGCTGCTGAAGATTGTTGTAGTCAGTTTTTAGCCTGTGATGTCTGTATGCAGAATTCCTCGAAACCTGCCTTGACAAATGGTTGAAGCTGTAATAGTTCAGATGTTGAATGGAAGCCTCTAGCCCTAGTCTGTCCTTTGGGGTCTGGTAGGGAGGCCCTCATCCTCACTCCAACTGAGCTAGGAGCTTCTTTTGCAGGAACTAAACCAAGAGAAAGCATAGTTGGGGTGGGGACACAATGCTCCATCAGGCAGGGACAAAGTGCACCTCCCTTGTGGATCAGTGAAGATTATTTCAGCCAGTTGTCTCTTGGGGATGCAGGATAACTGCCCAAAACCAAACCCCTTGAACTGCTTATTTGTACCCTATGATTATCATTAAGTGTTGTACCTTATGATTCTTGATGAACGTATTTTTATTTTATGTACACTGAGAGCGTGTGCACCAAGACAAATTCCTTGTGTGTCCAATCACACTTGGCCAATAAAAAATTCTATTCTATTCTAAACAATATTTGCGACTGAGGGAAGCTTGAAGAGTGATGGTTAACCTTACTTACCTTCACAAGATTACCAGGTGCTGCATCATAAAGGTTGATAAGGGTCTTGTTTGTATCTGCAGCCTTAAACAATTGCCAGCTTCATACTCCATTAATAGAAGAACAAAATACAGGACAAAACCTTGAAGTGGCCACCAACGTTGCTTCCAAACCCATCTAGATAGGAGATATTATTTTTCCCTCTGCATTCTTACTGCCAGGATTACCCTCAGTAAGCAACGTGGTTTAACCCCTACATGGAACTGCTAGGGGAGGCCATCCGTCCTGCCATATCCAATTATGTACAAGTAGTCATCGATTTACTTCATTTAGTGACCATTTGAAGTTACAAGGTTATTGAAAAAAGTGGCATGACCATTTTTCACACTTAAAGGCCACTGCAGTATTGTAACATGATGAAAATTCAGGCTCTGGACAATTGACTAGTCTTTCTGACCGTTGCAGTGTCATGTGATCCACTTTGGCGACTGAGTTGGAGGTCCTCCTGGACTCACAAGTCCTGCTCGGGGTGGGTATAGCTGGGGGAGGGGCTTTCAACAGATTCATCTTGTGTGCCAATTGTGCCCTTTCCTGCACCTGGATGCCTTGTACAGGGGGTCACTCTTCCCTTGGTCACCTCGTTTGAATCTCTACACGGGACCACTAGAAAACTTCAACTGGTCCAGAATGTAGCAGTACACACAGTAATGGAAGCCCCCAGGTATCCCATGTAACATCTTTGTGGTGCAAACCGCACTGGATTCAGTTGGTTTAAGGTGCAATTCAAGGTTATCACCTTTAACAGTATTTATTACAGCAATAGCTATCAGACATCTACTGTATACCACTGCACTGTGTTTTGTATCACTCTCGGTTTACAGTGTCAGCATATTGTCCCCAACAATCTGGGTCCTCATTTTACCAATCTCAGTATGACGGAAGGCTGAGTCAAGCTCGAGGCCTGTCAGGATTGGATTCCAGGCTGTGGGCAGAGTCACCTGGCAATACTGCATTCTAACCAATGAGCCAACAGGCACCTGTCATTACTTTCTCACCTTTATTTTTGCATCTATCTGTTCTTCCAGGTCAGATAGGATGGGCATGTTCCTAGCCCCTTGCCTTAAATGTTGCCATCTGATAGGAGGTAGGAAGAGAGGCTTGTCTGTTGCAGCTCCTGCCCCATGAGACATTCTCCCCCATGATGTTTGGCAAGTCTTTATCATCCTGGTCTTCCATAAAGCAAAGAACTAGCATTTCCCCTAAGCCAGTGATGGCTAACCTTTTTGCCATCGTATGCCAAAAGCAGGGGGAGTGCGGGGTGGTCGCGCACGTGTGTCCCCACACCCATAATTCTATGCGCCCTGCCCCCCCATGCATATGTGCATGACCCCCCCATGGTCCCCCCCACTTTTGGCATGTGATGACCCAGTGGGCCCGGTAGGCTCATTTTTCGCCCTCCCCAGGCTCCAGAGGCTTTCTAGGAGCCTGGGGAGGGTGAAAACAGCCTTCCCCACCACCCCTGGAGGCTGGAAACAGCCCATTTGCCAAATTCCAGTGGGCCCAGAAGGTCCAAAAAATCAGCTGGCCAACATGTGCATGCATGCTGGAACTGAGCTAGGGCAATGCTCGTGTGCCCACCACTATGGCTCCGTGTGCCATCTGTGGCACGCGTGCCATAGGTTCGCCATCACAGCCCTAAGCACTGGGAGAAGAAGAGAGGACTGCACATCAGGTGAATTGAAACCATGTTTTTGCTTTTATGCATTTGGTTTTAAAACAGTCTTAATTATTGATTGGGAGCCAGCCAGAGATTGTTATAACATGGGTGGCTACTTAAATATTTTAAATAAATCAGAGGAAATGAATGAAGGAATGAATGAGTTTATCAAATTTATAGGCTGTTAATCCTGAGGAGGTTTACTTCGCTGATTTAACTCCTTTTATTTAATGTAACTCCTCACAGGGAGAAAGATTACAAGTGTTGAGGAAGAATAGCACAACAAATGAACATAATTAATAATGTCTGGAGGCCTCGTTAACATCTAAATTGAACAAAAGCAAAAATCATGTTTTTGGGATTCCTAGACCATCCGAATGCCATCAACCTTCCTAAATGTGCCCTGTATTTGCAGGGCAACAACATGTTAAACGTGGAACGGTTGCATTTTGCCATTTGAAATATATATGGGGTTGATTAGTTTCTATATTAATATTTTATTACTATAAACCATGTGGAGTCACGACATGGCATAAGATGCTAAGTAAAAATACATAAATACATACTTAATTGGGTTGTTTTAAATTTTGGGCTGAAATTATTTGTTTTTTAAACTGTTTTTAAATTTTATATGCTATGTTTTATCTCGGCTGTACACTGCCCTGAGTCCACAGGAGAAGGGCGGTATAGAAATAAAATAAAATAAATAAATAAATACAAGTTTATATCCCCCTGTATTATATGTAGAAATAGCTCAAGGCATAAAACATACCTAATAGAGATCAAAATTCGCTTTCTCTGGCCCAGCAATAGCAGTTCCCTTTGGCTCCATGAAAGGGAATGACCGCACTGGACCAAACTAAGGAAGCTCAGATCTCCTCCCACATGTTTAATAATAAGGCATGCTTAACTAAAAAGAATCAGGCAAGAAATTAAATTATCAATTTCTAAGATGGGCTTTCAGTAAGAGACAAGAAAAGAAATTCAAGATTCCTCTAAACAAATCAATTTTTTCCTGATGTAGAATTTCTTCTGCCATAAGGGAGGAATTTTGTGCAAAACGCTGTCCACAATCTGGGCATTTGAATGGTTACTCCCCTATGTGTAACCTTACATGATTTATAAGGCTAGACCTACAACTGAAATCTTTCCCACAATCCGGACACTCGTAAGGTTTTTCTCCTGTGTGAGTCCTCTTGTGTTTCACCAAGTCAGAATTTCGATGGAAATCTTTCCCGCAATCAGAACATTTATATGGTTTCTCTCCTGTGTGAGTGATCTGGTGTTCCACCAGCTGGGAATTCCGACAGAAACTTTTCCCACAGTCCGGACACTCATATGGTTTCTCTCCTGTGTGAATCCTCTGGTGTTCCACCAACTGGGAATTCCGACAGAAACTTTTCCCACAATCCAGGCACTCATACGGTTTTTCTCCTGTGTGAATCCTCTGGTGTGTCACTAAGTTGGAATTCTGACTGAATCTTTTCCCACAATAGGTACACTCAAATGGTTTGTCTCCTGTGTGAGATCTCTGGTGTAACATCAGATGAGAATTTTGACTGAACCTTTTCCCACAATCTGGACACTCATATGGTTTTTCTCCTGTGTGAGTCCTCTGGTGTTTCACTAAGTTGGAAGTTTGATGGAAATCCTTCCCGCAATCAGGACATCTATACGGTTTCTCTCCTGTATGAGTCCTTTGGTGTATCACCAGGTTTGAATTCTGACTGAAACTTTTCCCACAATAGAGACATTCATAAGGTTTCTCCCCTGTGTGAGTCCTCTTGTGTGTCACTAGGTCGGAATTCCGACTGAACCTTTTCCTACAATCTGGACAGTCATATGGTTTCTCTCCTGTGTGAGTCCTCTGGTGTTTCACGAAGTCGGAATTTTGATGAAAATCTTTTCCATAATTAGGACATTTATGTGGTTTCTCTCTTGTGTGAGTCATCTAGTGTTCCACCAGCTGGAAATTCCTACAGAAACTTCTCCCACAATCCAAACACTCATATGGTTTTTCTCCTGTGTGACTTCTCTGCTGTTTCAATAGGTAAGACTTATTAATGTAACTTTTCTCACGATACACTCATATGGTTTCTCCCCAGGGTGAGTCCTCTTGTGTATCTGGTAATCTTGTGCCAGATTGATGTGCATGCTAAATCTTTTGTCACAATGGGAGCACTGGTAGAGTTTCTCTTCGGTATGGCTCCTTTCACGAATCACGAGACCTGTTCTGAGTAAAGCTTCTGATGCACCCCAAACATTTGTATGGCTTATTACGGGATGGTTCAAATTATGCATCAAACACATGTGATCGGGAATCTGTGTTTTCCCACAATAGGCAGTCGGTGGGGATTTTCCAACAGTACTATTCTTGGATTCTTGAGGAGGTCAGCACTATTTCTGATCTCTTACTTGATGGTTCTTTGATTCAAGCTACTCTTTCCTTCCACAAAGACTTTCATTAATGTCTGCAAGTTTTGGCTATCCACAGAACCTTTTTCTTTCCTCTGACTTCCAGGTGTTCTTTATTTAGAAATTATTCTCTTTGACTTCTCATGTAAAGTTTCCTTGAATTCCAGATACTCTTTTTTTCCAACTGAAAGCTTTGTTCTTATAATTCTCTCCATTGTCTCCCCATCAGCTAAGAAGGAGAAACATTTTTAAACTTTGTGGAGGAAGTGGAAGATTTTGATTGATGGTTTGTTTTACATTTTAAAACTCTTTCTCATTCTCTGTTGTCCAGAGTGCTCTTTTTGGCATTCTCTTTGTCTGTAAGATTAATATTAATGAGTTAGTTTCATTATTGTTTAAAAATGGCTACATGATATGTGAAAGCAGCAGAAATACCCCATATGTTATCATGAGAAAACAAACTTCAAAATTCTAGTTTGATCTCTAACATTATGATTAGTTTGGCATCTAGAAGGTTAGCAGATCCAAATATCAACTCAATCACAAAATTCTCCTTTTGGCTTGAGTAAATCACACACACAGTGCATTCAGAAAGTATTCAACGTATTCAGAGAAGGAAGCTGACGTCACAGCAGAGTGGATCGGGGAAACGGAGCTCATCATACCCATCCGATTTCGCCCTGTCTAGAGACCTTAAAGGGCCAAAGTCAACCCCAGGGGGGTTGACGAAGATCCCATAGATCATGAGAAGTGCAATCTCTTGTTAGATCCAGGAAAAACCCCTTAAAACTGGCAGGAGAATAGACGGCCATTAAGGCTGAACTGAAGCTATGACAGCTTGGAAAGGGAAAGGAAGGGCAAAATCAAGGAGCAGTGTGGCTGTGCTGGGTGAGACAGTTAGTGTGAATGGGTTTTAATTGTTTTTAATGGTTTAACTTTTAATGTTTTATATATGGTTTTTAAATGCATTGTAAGTCGCCTTGAGTCTTCGGAGAAAGGCGGCATACAAGTTGAACAAATAAATAAGTTGAACAAATAAAAAATTTTTAGAACCCACCTCTGATGACCATCACCCCATCATGTGACCAGGGCTGCTAGCCATACGAAGAGGGCCAGGAGACCCCCGGACTCCAGAGACCCTTATGGGGGTTAGCGCCACCCAAGATTTAAAAGCATCCCTTTTGCCCAGGAGACTCCTCGCTTCAAAGGAAAACAACATGTCAATAAAATCACAAGGAATGAAGTGAAAAAATATATGAAGATTTTTTTAAAATCTGCCAGCAGAAAATCACAGGCAGCAACTTTAAACCCTGCAGCAAAAGGATAAAAACATTTGGGGAGAGAAAGAATATAGAATATGATGCAGCAGCAGCCCAGATGTTTCATTCCTGTCCCTTCACTGCTTCCAGGCCGTGGAGGAACCCAAAGGGCCCGACTTCCTCCCGGCTTCTCCTCCGACCTTCCCTCCACTCACCTGCCAGGAGCCTCTTCCACCCTCCAAGCGGCACAGGAAGCTCCGCCGACGCCATTATCCGCCACTGGGTTAGGCGAAAGAGGAAGTCCCTCTGATCTCCTTTCCTCCACGTCCACTCTAGCAATCAAATACTCTATCGTTTCAATTCGTTCAAGCTCGGCCTCTCTCCCTCCGGTATAATGTCAATAGTAGCGATGCCGCTGCTGAACTCTTACTCTCTGCTTACTGGGGGCGAGTGTTGCTTCTTTGTAGAGCGCCATCTAGCGACATAAGGTTGAAAATCACCCTCGTTCTATCTTTACCCAGAAGCGTTTGCAAGAGGCTTTCGTGGATTCCGTGATTCCTTCTGTGCCATCCATCATAATCATAAGTTTTATTTGTCAAGCATATCTAACCTAACAGGTAAAAGTATAAACACAATTTGAATACACGAAGAGAATAAGAGTAAAAAGGAATATTAGGACAGGGACGGTAAGCACGCTGATGCACTTATGCACGCCCCTTACAGACATCTTAGAAATGGGGTGAGGTCAACAGTAGACAGCTTAAGGTTAAAGTTTTGGGGGCTTGGGGAAGAAACTATTTATTTATTAGTTCAATTTATATGCCGCCCTTCTCCAGAGACTCAGAGCAATTTACAATGCATTATAGCAATAGCCTTCATACTTTTTGTATATACCTGCTTATTAGGGCTTTTGGCCCCTCCTAAGCAGTGTTCTTTTTATACAAAGTCAGCTTATTACCCCCACAATCGGGGTCCTCAATTTACCTACCTCGGAAGGATGGAAGGCTGAGTCAACCTTGAGCCTGGTGGGATTTGAACTTGCAGTAATTGCAGGCAGCTGGCAGCTAAGTGCTATTTAACAGCACTTTAGTCCGCTGCACCACCAAGGCTCTTACAACTACAAAGTCAGGTAGTGCATTCCAGGCATTGACCACTCTGTTACTGAAGTCATATTTTCTGCAATCGAGTTTGGGGCAGTTTACCTTGAGTTTGTATCTATTATTTGTGTGTGTATTGTTGTGGTTGAAGTAGTCATTGACAGGAAGAAATTGTGGCAGATAATTTTATGTACTATGCTTAGGTCACACTGAAGTCGGCGTAGTTCTAAATTGTCTAAGCCCAAAATTTGGAGTCTGGTGGCATAAGGTATTTTATTGCGGTTAGAGGAATGGAGGACTCTTCTCATAAAATATCTCTGGACTCCCTCGATTTATTTATTTATTTATTGTATTGTGTCCTATTCGACTCCCACTGAGCACAGGAATAGCTTTTGTCCATGACAATTTATCCTAGCCAGTTTTTAGCCTGAGATGTGTGTGTGCAGGAGAACTCCTTGAAATCTGCCTTGGCAAATGGTTGGAGCTGTTATAGTTAAGCTGTTGAGTGGAAGCCTCTAGCCCTAATCTGTCCTTTGAGGTCTGGTAGGGAGGCCCTCATCCTCACTGCAACTGAGCCAGGAGCTTCTTTTGCAGGAACTAAACCAAGGGAAAGCATCCGTGGAGGGAACACAATGTGCCATCAGGCAAGGACAAAGCGCATCACCTTTGTGGATTAGTAGAGACTATCCTAGCCAGTTCTTTCTCTTAAGGGTGCAGGATACCTCCCCAAAACTATATTTGCAACTGAGGAAAGCTTGAAGAGTGAAGCTTGACCCTACTTATCTTCACAACATTAGGCAGATGCTGCATCACAAAAGTTGATAAAGGTCTTGTTTGTATGTTCAGCCTTAAACGATTGCCAGCTTCATATCCCTTTAATAGAAGAATGAAATAGGGGACAAAGCCATATCCAATTATGTACGGTGCCTTCCACCGTGCCTGTAAAACCTTCTTTTTTCAGCAAGCCGGGCTGGCTTAACTTTTTTCTTAATTTTTTAAATGTTTTAAATGGGTTTGTTATTGTTCTTAAATTACGGGGCCAAATTTATATATATTCTTTTAATACTATTTTAATGTTTGTAATTTATGTTTTTATTCGGCTGTACACCGCCCTGAGTCCTCAGGGAGAAGGGCAGTATATAAATTGGAAAATAAATAAATAAATAAATAAATAAAATGTACAAGTTGTCCTTGATTTACTTCATTTAGTGACCATTTGAAGTTACAAGGTTATTGAAAAAAGTGACATGACCATTTTTCACACTTAAAGGCCAGTAGAGCATTGTCACATGGTAAACATTCAGAGTCTGGACAATTATCTTTTTGACAGTTGCAGCATTCTGGGGTCATGTGATCACCTGTGGCAACTGAGCTGGTTGCACAACCTGGGGTTCCTTTTGGACTCCTGCTTGGGGAGGGCATGGCTGGGGGAAGGGCTTTCAACAGATTCATCTCATGCGCCAATTATTGTGCCCTTTCCTGCACTTGGATGCCTTACACAGGTGGTCACTCTTGCTGTTGGTCACCTCCTGTTTGAATTCCTGCTAGAAACTTCAACTGGTCCAGAACGCAGCAGGCGCACACAGTAATGGAGGCCCCTAGGTTGCCTATGTAAGATCTTTGTGGTGCGAACTACACAGGTTTTTTTTAAAGTGGAATTCAAGCTCATCATCTTTAAAGCTATTTATTATAGCAAAAGTGATCAGACATATATACCAGTGGTGGGTTGCTCCCGGTTTCGCCGAGCCGGTAGCGGTGATGATGTGACATTACCAAACCAGTTCTCTGTGACTGGGAGCTGGGCCCTCCCGCCCACCCCCGCTTTATTCCTACCTTTATTTCTTGGTTTTTAGCCCAGCTGATAGGCACGATAGAGTGGATTGCCGCACCTCAGCTGTCCAGAAACCTAATGCGCTTGCATGGAGTGCAAGTTTGGCACGCGTGCAAGTGAAGCAAGCCTGCGCACAGCAATCACGCGCAAGGCACATGCACGAAGAGAACCGGTAGTAACACCGGTTGGAACCCACCACTGATATATACCACTTATATACCACTACACTGTGCTTTGTACACTATTAGTTTACTGTCAGCATATTTTCCCCAACAATCTGGATCCTCATTTTACCGAACTCAGAATGACAGAAGGACGAGTCAACCTAGAGGAATGTCAGGATTAGATTCTAGGCTGTGGGCAGAGTCAGCTGGCAATGCTGCATTCTAACCACTGAGCCAACAGGGCACCGGTCATTATTTTCCCACCTTTATCTTTGCATCTATGTGTTCTTCAAGGTCAGATAGGACAGGCACACTCAGGGCCTCTTGCCTTAAATATTGCCATATGATAGGGGCTAGGAAGTGTGTCTTGTCTGTTGCAGCTCCTGCCCTATGAGACATTCTTCCCCCTGAAGTTTGGCAGGTCTCTATCCTCCTGGTCTTCTATAAAGCAAAGAACAACTAGCTTTTCCCCTCAGCACTGGGAAAAGAAGAGAGAACTGCAAATCAGAAGGTGAATTGAAACCAGTTGAAATTTTTGTTTTTATCCATTTGGTTTTAATATACTTTTAAAATTAATTATTGATTGGGAACCAGCCAGAAATTGTTATAACATGGGTGGCTGCTTAAATATTTTAAATATATCATAGGAAGAAGAAATGAATGAATCCATTGAGGCTATCCCTCTGCAAGTTGCTTGAGGTAAATGAAGGTCTATACATTTGTTTATCAAATTTATAGTCTGCTAATCCTGAGGTGGTTTACTTCTCCAATTTAACTCCTTTTATTTAATGTAACTCCTCACAGGGAGAAAGATTACCAGTTTTGAGGAAGAATTGCAGAAGAAATGAACATAATTAATAATTTCTGGAGGCCTTGTTAACTTCTCAATTGAACAAAAGAAAGAATCATATTTTTGGGATTCCTAGACCATCGGAATGCCTAGACGTGCCCTGTATTTGCAGGGTAAGTACATGTTAAATGTGGAATATTTGCATTTTGCCATATGGGGTTGATTAATTTCTGTATTAAGGTTTTATTGCTGTAAACCATGTGGAGTCATCATACGTTCAGCTGCCATATACATGATAAGTAAAAATACATACATGCAAGTTTATATCCCCCTGTATTATATGCAGAAATAACTCGAGGCATGAAACGTACCTAATAGAGATCAAAACTCACTTTCTCTGGCCCAGAAGTTCCCCTTGACTCCGTGGAAGGTTATGATTGCACTGGGCCAAATTAAGGAAGCTCAGATCTCATACCTCATGTTTAATAAGACATGCTTGACTAAGAAGAATCCCTATAAAAAATTAAGTTATCAATTTCTTAGCTGGGCTTTCAGTAAGAGACAGGAAACAAAATTCAAGATTTCTCTAAAGAGATCCATTTTTTCCTGATGTAGAATTTCTTCTGTCATAAGGGAGGAATTTTGTGCAAAACATTGTTCGCAATCTGGGCATTTGAATGGTTACTCTCCTATGTGTACCCTTACATGATTTACAAGGCTAGACCTACAACTGAAATCTTTCCCACAATCCGGACACTCGTATGGTTTTTCTCCTGTGTGAGGCCACTTGTGTATTACCAGGGTGGAACTGTGCCTGAACCTTTTCCCACAAACCAGTCACTGAAATGATTTTTCTCCTGTATGACTCCTCCTGTGTTTCACCAAGTCAGAATTTCGATGAAAACCTTTCCCGCAATCAGGACACTTATATGGTTTTTCTCCTGTGTGAATCGTCTGGTGCACCACAAGTTCAGAATTCCAATTGAAACTTTTCCCACAATCTCCACACATATGCGGTTTCTCTCCTATGTGATTCCTCTGGTGTATCACCAGATAGTAATTCTCACTGAAACTTTTCCCACAATCCAGACACTCATATAGTTTTTCTCCGGTGTGAGTCCTCTGGTGTATCACCAACTTGGAATTTTGAAAGTCTTCCCACAATCCTGATACTCATATGGTTTCTCTCCTGTGTGAGTCATCTGGTGTTCCACCAGCTGGGAATTCCGACAGAAACTTCTCCCACAATCCGGACGCTCATATGGTTTTTCTCCTGTGTGAGTCCTCTGGTGTGTCACTAGGTTGGAATTCTGACTGAATGTTTTCCCACAATCCAGACACACATATGGTTTCTCCCCAGTGTGTATTACCAGATTGGTATGCATGCTAAATATTTTGTCACAATGGGAGCACTGTTAGAGTTTCTCTTTGGTATGGGTCCTTTTACGAATCATGAGAGACCTGTTCTGAATAAAGCTTCTGACACACTCCAAACATTTGTATGGTTTTCATGGGGTGGTTCGGTTTATGCATCAATCCGATGTGATCTGCAATCTGTTTTTTTCCCAATATAGGCAATTGGTGGGGATTTTCCAATACCAATATTCTTGGATTCTTGAGGAGGCCAGCAATGTTTCTGATCTCTTAGTTGGTGGTTCTTTGATTCAAGCTACTCTTTCCTTCTACAAAGGCTTTCATTAATTCCTGCCAGTTTTGCCTATCCATGTAACCTTTCTATTTCCACTGACTTCTAGGTGTTCTTTACTGAGATATTATCTTCCTTTACTTCTCTTGTAATGTTTCTTTGGGTTCCAAACCCAAAGAAGAATCCACTGAGCCGAGGTGGCGCAGTGGTTAGAGTGCAGTACTGCAGCTACTTCAGCTGACTGCTAGTTCAGCAGATCAGCGGATCAAATCTCACCGACTCAAGGTTGACTCAGCCTTCCATCCTTCCGAGGTGGGTAAAATGACCCAGATTGTTGAGGGCAATATGCTATTTAGTATACTGTCTTTGGTGTAAGCTGCCCAGAGTCCTCGGAGAGTGGGCGGCATAGAAATATGAATAATAAAAATAAAAAGAATAATAAAAAAACACTCTTATTTTTTTGCAGCTGAAAGCTTTGCTCTCATATTTCTCTCCACTGTCTCTCATTAGCTGAGGAAGGACAAGTATATTTACACTTCCTGAAGGAAGTGGAAGATTTTGATTGAGGGTTTGTTTTACATTTTAAAGTGGTTTCTCATTCTCTGTTGTCCAGAGTGCTCTTCTTGGCATCCTCTTGGTCTATAAGATTAGTGGATTGATGGATTCATTTTATTATACAGTACTTTGTTCATTACATAGTTGAATGTGCTGACAAAAAAAATCACACAACAATTATCAATGGAAATCAAATTTATCAATCCATGGAGGTCTGGATGTGGAGTTACACTCAAAATTAAAGTGGAAAAAAACACTACAGGTTGATCCAACTTTGATGTAATGTCCTTAAAACAAGTCAAAATGAGGCTCAGTAGTGTGTGTGGCCTCCACGTGCCTGTATGACCTCCCTACAACGCCTGGGCATGCTCCTGATGAGGTGGCGGATGGTCTCCTGAGGGATCTCCTCCCACACCTGAACTAAAGCATCCCCCAACTCCTGGACAGTCTGTGGTGCAACGTGGCGTTGGTGGATGGAGCGAGACATGATGTCCCAGATGTGCTCAATTGGATTCAGGTCTGGGGAACGGGTGGGCCAGTCCATAGCATCAATGCCTTCGTCTTGCAGGAACTGCTGACACACTCCAGCCACATGAGGTCTAGCATTGTCGTGCATTAGGAGGAACCCAGGACCAACCGCACCAGCATATGGTCTCACAAGGGGTCTGAGGATCTCATCTCGGTACCTAATGGCAGTCAGGCTACCTCTGGCAAGCACATGGAGGGCTGTGCGGCCCCCCAAAGAAAGGCCACCCCACACCATTACTGACCCACTGCCAAACCGGTCATGCTGGAGGATGTTGCAGGCAGCAGAACATTCTCCACGGCATCTCCAGACCCTGTCACGTCTGTCTCGTGCTCAGTGTGAACCTGCTTTCATCTGTGAAGAGCACAGGGCGCAGTGGTGAAGTTGCCAATCTTGGTGTTGTCTGGCAAATGCCAAACGTCCTGCACGGTGTTGGGCTGGAAGCACAACCCCCACCTGTGGACGTCGGGCCTTCATACCACCCTCACGGAGTCTGTTTCTGACCATTTGAGCAGACACATACACATTTGTGGCCCACTGGAGGTCATTTTGCAGGGCTCTGGCAGTGCTCCTCCTGTCCCTCCTTGCACAAAGGCAGAGGTAGAGGTCCTGATGCTGGGTTGTTGCCCTCCTACGGCCTCCTCCATGTCTCCTGATGTACTGGCCTGTCTCCTGGTAGCACCTCCATGCTCTGGACACTACGCTGACAGACACAGCAAACCTTCTTGCCACAGCTCGCATTGATGTGCCATGCTGGATGAGCTGCACTATCTGAGCCACTTATGTGGGTTGTAGACTCAGTCTCATGTTACCACTAGAGTGACAGCACCACCAGCATTCAAAAGTGACCAAACCATCAGCCAGAAAGCATAGGAACTGAGAAGTGGTCTGTGGTCCCCACCTGCAGAACCACTCCTTTATTGGGGAGTCTTGCTAACTGCCTATGCTTTCCACCTGTTGTCTATTCCATTTGCACAACAGCATGTGAAATTGTCAATCAGTGTTGCTACCTAAGTGGACAGTTTGATTTCACAGAAGTGTGATTGACTTGGAGTTACATTGTGTTGTTTTAAGTGTTCCCTTTATTTTTTTGAGCAGGGTACTTTGTTCATTACATAGTTGAATGTGCTGACAACAAAATCACGCAACAATTATCAATGGAAATCAAATTTATCAACCCATGGAGGTCTGGATTTGGAGTAACACTCAAAATTAAAGTGGAAAAAAACACTACAGGCTGTTCCAACTTTGATGTAATGTCCTTAAAACAAGTCAAAATGAGGCTCAGTAGTGTGTGTGTCCTCCACGTGCCTGTATGATCTCCCTACAACGCCTGGGCATGCTCCTGATGAGGTGGCGGATGGTCTCCTGAGGGATCTCCTCCCACACCTGGACTAAAGCATCCCCCAACTCCTGGACAGTCTGTGGTGCAACGTGGCGTTGGTGGATGGAGCGAGACATGATGTCCCAGATGTGCTCAATTGGATTCAGGTCTGGGGAACGGGTGGGCCAGTCCATAGCATCAATGCCTTCGTCTTGCAGGAACTGCTGACACACTCCAGCCACATGAGGTCTAGCATTGTCGTGCATTAGGAGGAACCCAGGACCAACCGCACCAGCATATGGTCTCACAAGGGGTCTGAGGATCTCATCTCGGTACCTAATGGCAGTCAGGCTACCTCTGGCAAGCACATGGAGGGCTGTGCGGCCCCCCAAAGAAATGCCACCCCACACCATTACTGACCCTCTGCCAAACCAGTCATGCTGGAGGATGTTGCAGGCAGCAGAACATTCTCCACGGCGTCTCCAGATCCTGTCACGTCTGTCATATGTACTCAGTGTGAACCTCCTTACATCTGTGAAGAGCACATGGCGCCAGTGGCGAAGTTGCCAATCTTGGTGTTCTCTGGCAAATGCCAAACGTCCTGCACGGTGTTGGGCTGGAAGCACAACCCCCACCTGTGGACGTCGGGCCCTCATACCACCCTCACGGAGTCTGTTTCTGACCGTTTGAGCAGACACATACACATTTGTGGCCCACTGGAGGTCATTTTGCAGGGCTCTGGCAGTGCTCCTCCTGTCCCTCCTTGCACAAAGGCGGAGGTAGTGGTCCTGATGCTGGGTTGTTGCCCTCCTACGGCCTCCTCCACGTCTCCTGATGTACTGGCCTGTCTCCTGGTAGCGCCTCCATGCTCTGGACACTACGCTGACAGACACAGCAAACCTTCTTGCCACAGCTCGCATTGATGTGCCATCCTGGATGAGCTGCACTACCTGAGCCACTTGTGTAGGCTGTAGACTCAGTCTCATGCTACCACTAGAGTGACAGCACTGCCAGCATTCAAAAGTGACCAAACCATCAGCCAGAAAGCATAGGAACTGAGAAGTGGTCTGTGGTCACCACCTGCAGAACCACTCCTTTATTGGGGATGTCTTGCTAACTGCCTATGCTTTCCACCTGTTGTCTATTCCATTTGCACAACAGCATGTGAAATTGTCAATCAGTGTTGCTACCTAAGTGGACAGTTTGATTTCACAGAAGCGTGATTGACTTGCAGTTACATTGTGTTGTTTAAGTGTTCCCTTTATTTTTTTGAGCAGTGTAGTTTAAAAAATGGCTGCAGAACCTGGGAAAAAAGCATTCATATTAATGAGTTAGTTTCATTATTGCTTAAAAATGACTGCATGATATGTGAACGAAGCAGAAATACCCCATATGTTATCATGAAAAAAACAAACATCAAAATTCTAGTTTGATCTCTAACATTATGCTTAGTTTGGCATCTTGGTATTGTTTGACAATGGAAGTCCATTGATCTGGATATATAGTGGGAAAACATGTCAATAAAATCAGAAGGAATGAAGTGATTCGTAGAAGGTGAGGGAGGTGGGTGGCTCAGAAATACTTAAAAATATATCAAGATTTCTTTATATCGCCCAGCATAAAATCACAGGCAGCAGTTTTAAATCCTTCAGCAAAAGTATAAAAACATTTGGGGAGAGAAAGAAAATGCAACAGGAGCCGATATGTTTCATTCTTGTCCCTTCGCTGCTTCCAGGCCGTGGAGGAACCCAAAGGGCCCGACTTGCTCCCGGCTTCAGCTCCGACCTTCCCTCCACTCACCTCCCAGGAGCCTCTTCCACCCTCCAAGCGGCACAGGAAGCTCCTCCGACGCCATTATCCGCCACTGGGTGAGCCAGAAGAGGAAGTCCCTCTGATCTCCTTTCCTCCACGTCCACTCTAGCAATCAAATACTCTATCGTTTCAATTCGTTCACCCTCGACTTCTCTCCCTCCGGTATAATCTCAATAGTAGCGAAGCCGCTGCTGTACTCTATTCACTTCTTTCTAAGGCGCGAATGTTACTTCTTTGTAGAGCGCCATCTAGCGACATAAGGTTGAAAATCACCCTCGTTGTATCTTTACCCAGAAGCGTTTGCAAGAGGCTTTCATGGATTCCTGGTTCCTTCTCTGCACTCAAGTTTTATTTGACTCCCACCGAGCACAGGAATAGCTTTCGTCCATGACAGTCTATGCTAAACCTTTTCTTTCAGGTCTCCCAAGAGTTCACTCACTGGCCCTTTTCCTCCAACTAAACCAAAGGAAAGGGTCCAAGGGCGGGGGCGGAATGATGTGTAAAAGCCAACCTGAAAGTGAACCTCCCTTGGGGGCTGCTGAAGATTGTTCCACCCAGTTTTTAGCCTGGGGTGGTGGAGCTGCAGGATAATTCCTCAAAACCTG